ATGGTAGGTCTCTTAGGACAGTTTTCAAACTGATGCTATAGGTATCAGTAATCTTGTTAAGGTATATCTTTGGCTCAGCTTACGGTCTCTATACATTTATTTCCATTTCAACTTAGCTGTGAGATTGTCCCTGTGTGTTACCCCCAGTCACTCTAAAGAAAGAAAATGTTAAAAGGATTTACAACAATATACAACATGTATAAAGTGGTGCACCTTGTAAACAGTTACTTGAATGGTGTTTTATTTAAACCTTGGATAACCAAATTAAATCATTTACAAAAAAATCAATTCAATGCAGCATTGAAATCAACTTTAAATCTACCTGTCCTTCTGAATGGCAGATAGATAATTTAGTAGAAAGGTTACGATACAAATAAGTCTGAAATAAATGCCCAGATTTCTTTAAGTCTAGCCCAAAGTTTGTTTAAACGTTTTCAAATTGATCAACATGCTGACGTAGTGTGTCCATTGGTGATAATTTCAGAAATATTTTATTTCAAAACAAAACTGCTGTATGGATTCAAATTACAATTGCACAAAATAAATCATAACTAAAATGTAAAAATAGTTATGTGAACTCACAGGAAAAGATTGAAGTTTACGAAATTTACACTTTATCACCTGAAAATGAATGGTGTTTTATACAAGTGGGTGCTGTACTTTAACAGTACAAAGATTTCATGGCTTCCATAACTTACATTATGGTTTCCTGCTGCATAAATCTAGGGAAATTGTTATCCCTTCAACCAATAGTACAGAGGTAACACGAGGTTTACTGACCACTGTTCCTACTGTCAAGTGTTTGTGTATGGCAGAGAAAGCCTATAAAGAGTTTGTAACACAAGGTTTCAATACCTTGATACGGATATACATCACCATGTATGTTAGATATTTGTAAGGTCTATCACTTTGTGTTACACTGAAATGGACAAATTCAAATACTAACAGTTACATCTTATCTTTGAAGATTTTACAGCTAAACACTTTATTGAATTAGAATCCCAGGCGTGTGATTTATACCAACTAAGGGTTTAACTGGTGTTGTCGCGAATAGCTGAACCATATATATCATTGAACTCATTTCAATCTTGTTTAACAGGCAATAAAGTGAGATTTGACATAGAAAATTGACAATGTCTTCGTTAGATCTGTGTAAACATGTATTGGAATCTCACTGGTATTTCTGTACGGCAAATGTCTGTAAATTTTGATGGCAGTTATCAAATTCAACTTTTAGAAAATGAAAATATATGTGTTACCTCCTGGTTAAATCAGCTAACTCAGTAACTGATGTTTCAGAGTTTTTAGTTCTTCAATTGAATCATCAGTTCTTGATGTATACCTTTCAAACAAGTTTTCAATTCTTTTTTATCTTCGTATTGCGTCATTAATTCTTGTTTACCTTTCAATTGAGTCATCGGCAGTTCCTGTGGAGTTATTTCTTAAGAAAAGAAGTCTAAATTACCATTTAAGACATTTTGTAATTTGTGTGATACTCTTAGATTGGAGACTTCAGAAGAAGGTAGTACATTACTGAGAATTATTGTTGTCAAATCATGTGAAGTCTTACAGTAAATATCAGATATCTTATTACCTAGGTAATGTCTTAAGATTTAGAGTATATTTGATACATTGTACAGATTAACATTGAACCTGAACCCTATTTACATATTTGTGGTAGCAAATTAGTTGCCTTTTAAATTCATGTCGTTTTAGAAAGTTTGGCGTTGACTTCTGATTAACAGACATCATGTCGTTCGATGTAAGATTTAGGATTTTAAGGTGATTAAGGTTATCAATACATTATTGAGTTCCATTTGTCATACAGTGTAGTTAGTATATCTGTAGTTTAACCCAGTCCAAGTTACATGGTAATAAACCTGTTATGTTCTATACAAAAACATTTTGTTGTATATTGCATCTTGAGCTTTGCTATATTCTCAAAGTGATCATGCATTAGTCAGTTTTATTTGAAATGTTTTTTTGTATGTATCTTTTTTTTCTTTCTTTTTTTGTCAGATAATCACATATGGCCATTTTTATTGTCATATGACAAACCTAACTCAGACGATTGCATATGAACGAAAACCACAAAAAATACTTTCTGGTAAAATACATATTTTACCACTTTGTCTTAACCCAGTACCCGGTTTTTGAATGATGTATTTTTTACATTATTTTGTATGCATGTTCATGTATTAAAACTACCTACAATCGCCTTCCCCTTGAGATTTTATCTGACTGGATATTGTCTCCAGTTTGTATAAATATCTATGAATAATTTACAGCCCCCAGTTGTCTGCTCTTGTTCAGGGCTAATCTCTGCAAAAGATTAAAGGAGTGAGGTTTTATGAAGGTTTTCAATCAAAAGACCTAAAACTTGTGTCTGATTGTGATAGACACCAGAGTGTATTGGTCGCCCTTCCTGTATTTACTTTTGAAGTTTGGGAGTAGTTTGTAAATCTTGTGGATCAAGATTGCTGTTATTTTGACCTGTAAGGACTTAACATGATGTACCTTACACTGATGAGATCGCACAAACTTACTCGCCGCATATTTGTGACATATATATATATTTTTTCATTCTTCAGTGTGGTTCTCATAATTTAAAAGCTATTTTTCCATAAATTATCTCTCAGAATACTTTCATTCTAGAAATGAAATAAATACATTCTTAAATGGATAGTATTAACCCAGGTAATAAATTATTGTCTTAATTTTTGACTGCTTCTGCAGTAGGTGAGAAGGAAGTATTTTGTTTTTAGCTCACCTGGTCCGAAGGACCATGGTGAGCTTATGCCATACCGCAGCGTTCATCGTCCGTCCGTCCGTCAACTTTTCCTTTAAAACGCTAATAGTCATGAACAACTGAGCAGATTTTGACCAAATTTGGTCAAAAGCATCCTTGATGGAAGGGGAACAAATTTTGTATAAATGGTAGGTCTGGGGGCTGAGGGGCAGGGCCCAATAGGGGAAATATAGCAAATTCTTTAAAATCCTTCTTCTTCTGTAGGAATGAAAGGATTTGTTCCATATTTGGTCTGAAGCATCCTTGGGAGAAGGGGAACCAATTTTGTATAAACCATGGGTGTGGCTCCCCAGAGGCCTGAGGGGCGGTGCCAAATAGGGGAAATATAGCAAATTATTCTTTAAAATCATTCTTCTTCCGTAGGAATAAAAGGATTTGGTCCATATTTAGTGTGGAGCATCCTTGGGTAAAGGGGAACCAATTTTGTAAAAATCGCGGGTCTGGCCCCCTTGGGGGCTGAGGGGCGGGGCCACATAGGGGAAATATAGCAAATTCTTTAAAATCCTTCTTCTGTAGGAATAAAAGGATTTGTTCCATATTTGGTGTGGTGCATCCTTTGGTAAAGGAGAACCAATTTTGTATTAACGGTGGGTGTGGCCCCCCTGGTACCTGAGGGGCGGGGCCAATAGGGGAAATATAGGTAAAACCTTTATAATCCTTCTTCTACCATAGGGATTAGGGATATTATCCTAATTTATTCTGGAGCGTTCTTAAGCAAAAGGGACTCACTTTTGTATAAACGGTGTGCCTGACCCCTCTTGAGGCAGAGAGGTGGGACCCAATAGGGGAAATGTAGGTAAAACCTTTAAAATCCTTCTTCTACCATAGAGATTAAGGGATTTTATCCTAATTTAGGCTGGAGCATCAATGGGCCAAGGGGACTCAATTTTGTATAAGCATGCAGTGGGTGTGGTCTCCCAAGGGGCAGAAGGGCAAGGCTCAATAGGAGAAATAGAGGTAAAACCTTTAAAATCCTTCTTCGACCATCGGGAATATGGGATTTTATTAGGTCACCTGAGCTTTAGCTCAAGTGACCTATTGCTATCTGTCTTCGTCCGTTGTCCGTCGTCCCTTAACATTTTACATTTTCAACTTAAGCTGAAATATTGGCAAAGGGATTTCATTAATATTTCATGGGAAGGTTACTGACATCTCCTTGACCAAGTGTTGTTATTTTTCGGGGCGATCAGAAATCCGATATGCCCGACACGGCCGCCATTTTGAAAAACTATTTAACACTGAAAGTCAAGTTCTGCTCGGACGATTGAACTGAAACCTGGTAGGAATGGACGACTCATGGTCCTGACAAAGAGTTGTTATTTTTCGGGTAGATCAGAAATCAGATATGGCCGACACGGCCGCCATTTTGAAAAACTATTTCACACGGAAAGTCAAGTTCTGCTCGGACGATTGAACTGAAACCAGGCAGGAATGGTCGACTCATGGACCTGACAAAGCGTTGTTATTTTTCGGGTTGATCAGAAATCCGATATGCCCGACACGGCCGCCATTTTGAAAAACTATCTCGCACTGAAAGTCAAGTTCTGCTGGGACGATTGAACTGAAACCTGGTAGGAATGGTCGACTCATGGTCCTGACAAAGTGTTGTTATTTTTCGGGTCGATCAGAAATCCGATATGGCCGACACGGCCGCCATTTTGAAAAAAACTATTTCAAAACTGAAAACTGCAAGTTCTAATAGGCCGATTTAACTGAAACTTGGTCTATGAATGATCAGCTCATGGTCCTGACAAACTTAAGTTAACGTTATACTAAACTATTTTGTACTCAAATTGGTACATATTTCAACAACAAAAATAAATACTGTAGGACACAGATGACCGTTTAGGCCCATGGGCCTCTTGTCCTTATTTAGTCTGGAGCATCCTTGGGTCAAGGGGGCTCAATTTTGTGTAATTGGTGGGTATGACCCCCCTAGGTTTAATATAGGGGTGGGGCTCTGTTTGAAGTTTGTTCTCGCTATATTTCAAGTACTGGATGGATCTTTCTGAAATTTCAAATGTACTTGCAGCACCTACTTCATACCAATTATTTTAAACATATTCAGGTGAGCGATACAGGGCCCCTGGGCCACTTGTTTTATTTACATGTAGTGATTCCAGGAATGTAGGAACTTTTATTTGTTCTGTGTTCTGACCTTGTAACTTATATACTGTGTCTGTCTTTACAGCTGTACAGGTGGTACTGCTGCGCCGACGCCTTGTGGAGAAGGGACGTTCAACAGTGGGACAGGAAGCTCCATTAGCGGTGACTGTCAGACATGTGCTGCGAATGCCATCAGTCCTGTCGGATCTACTTCCTGTACAGTATGTCCGGCTGGATACTCCTGCAGTTCTCCAAATACAAGGACCGCCTGTAGTGCTGGGGAGTTCTCACTGGATGGGGACATGTCCTGTACAACCTGCCCTACTGGTCATATATGTCCCACCACAACAGCAGCATCCACGGTAAAGGTCGCACAATTGCAAGGTCACTTGTCTTAAGTAAAGGTTACATATTAAAGTGACCATATAGCCATTTGTATCTGAGCAACTGTTGTATCTTTCTAAATGGTCTTTCTTTTACTCATCAGATTTTTTTTACTTAATTACCTTACTTAAGAATAATCCCCCTGTAATATTGGCCAGTTCACTGAAGATCCTTATAAATTTATCAGTAGAACCCTCTGTCACTGTACATGGACTATTGAACATCTTAATGTAGGGTATGGACTCGTTTGTTACAGGATTGCCCGGCTGGTGAAGAGCCGAACTCAGGACTGACAGCTTGTCAGGTGTGTAATGCTGGAGAATACAGTAGTGCCTCGGATACCTCCTGTCAAACATGTCCTGCAGGTAAGTCTTCTCTTTATAGTTATCTCCCCTTGGTACTTCCATAACTGTTGAAAGTCCGGCAGAAGCGTTTATCTATGAAATACTTTGTTTGAAGACAATTTCTTTTTTGGAAGAGCTGTAGGAATCGTACAAAAAAATGTTCAGTTAAAACCCTTTCAATTAGAAACATTTTTCTTGCTATACATGAAGTAGACATACAAAATTGACATACAAAATTATTAATTAAGGTTAACAAAATTATGAGATGTAACATTCAAATTTAAATAATTTTAAAACAATAAATGCAAATTACAATTATGATATCATTTATATGGATTACATTTGTATATAATATATAAAATGCCAACATTTCCATATTGCTAGTATACCATGAAACAGATGTTCAGATAGCATTGCTTTTACAACAGATATATGGTGTATCACAAGTCCGTATCCCCATAACTTAACCACTAACACACGTAATAGGCATTAACAGACAAATACATCCATGCCTCCATAATTGAACACCCCTGGGACTTGATCCCTGTGTCACACCTTAGAAATGGCTGAGATTTTCTGTGTCACACCTTAGAAATGGCTGAGATTTTCTGTGTCACACCTTAGAAATGGCTGAGATTTTCTGTGTCACACCTTAGAAATGGCTGAGATTTTCTGTGTCACACCTTAGAAATGGCTGAGATTTTCTGTGTCACACCTTAGAAATGGCTGAGATTTTCTGTGTCACACCTTAGAAATGGCTGAGATTTTCTGTGTCACACCTTAGAAATGGCTGAGATTTTCTGTGTCACACCTTAGAAATGGCTGAGATTTTCTGTGTCACACCTTAGAAATGGCTGAGATTTTCTGTGTCACACCTTAGAAATGGCTGAGATTTTCTGTGTCACACCTTAGAAATGGCTGAGATTTTCTGTGTCACACCTTAGAAATGGCTGAGATTTTCTGTGTCACACCTTAGAAATGGCTGAGATTTTCTGTGTCACACCTTAGAAATGGCTGAGATTTTCTGTGTCACACCTTAGAAATGGCTGAGATTTTCTGTGTCACACCTTAGAAATGGCTGAGATTTTCTGTGTCACACCTTAGAAATGGCTGAGATTTTCTGTGTCACACCTTAGAAATGGCTGAGATTTCTATCTTTACTTCAATGTTTGCTAGGCACTATAGATGAATACAGCTGTGCTACTTGGATACTTTGTAACTTGCCCCTAGGGACTTAGTCCCTTGTCGTTACATAAATCAGTTGAATTGTTCCCCTATGATCATATATATGATCGCTGGGCATGAGTGACTAATACATCCCTGCTTTGTTACCAGTATTGTTCAGCTACACTCTAAGTGACATTGTTCCTCGGTCATTTCATGGAAACAATTTGAGATCCACAGCTCATAATTTCAAGGCATGAAAAGACAACAATATGCATGCTAACAGGATTGGCCCTGGGGTCTGCCCCACCCTTGGGACTAGCAATTGGATCATTACAGTTGAGATCACTACTCTTTAAGAAATTATTGGACATGAAGTGAAGAATGCATTGCTATCAGGATTGACTCAGGGGTCTGGCCCCATCCCTGCAGACTTAGTCCCAGGGTCATAACCCAGGCCTTGTAACCATTTACAAATATCACAACCAAACTTGCTTTCAAAGCACACTTGATCCTTGGAATCTTTGAATCAGTTGTTGTATTAGAGGAGAAACGAAGCTCCTGTACAACTAAGTATGTTCATAACAATGAACTTTAACTTTATATTATACGATAGATTAATTTTTGAGTCCAGTGTAGAGGAGCTCTGTCGGCTCCTTTATTGGAAACTAACTTTAACTTTATGGGCATCTCTTGATTCACACCCAGTTGAAATAGCTGCACATACTTGCAAGTCACCCAGTAAGTATGAAGCATGTGCTCATTACACGTTGATCACCTGTAACTAATGGTGTTTACAACACTATTGTACTGGGACTCTCTAGCTATGTTGTACTTAGGGCACATTGTTCATGTTTGACAGGAAGCAAATGCCCAACCGCTCAGCTGTCTGCACCCATTACCTGCCCCAGCGGTACCTACCAGACGGCCGGTGGTCAGACAGCATGTGACAATTGTCCTGCCGGATCACAGTGCTCAGACACCACCGTAGCTGCTAATTGTCCAGCCGGACAGTATTCAAGTGCCAACTCCATCAGCTGTACTGCATGTGCTTCAGGTAACCTCTAACGACCATCCTTTCAACCAATCACAATCTTTCTATCATCCATACACTCTGTGTTGCCAATCAACACAATGGGCTCACAAACTTTTGTTTTCAGTAAGAGTTTCACTGCCTGTCGTCTTGAGGAATTGCTTTGGTAATGGGTTAGTCTAGTTAAGTAATTGCAGTATTTTTTTTACAGGATGTGTATTGTTATTATTGTAAACTTAAGGTAAACTAATATTGAGCTTTCCTTAGTTTTCAGACGTCAGCAGCAGTCCTGGATCCTTGTTTTTATATACAACTCATGTGTTGCATAATTTAACTGTTTTCTTTTTCTATTTTTCAGTGATTTTTGTTGTTTGAACATTTGTTTTCAATTTTTTCACTTGTAAAATTCAAGGTAAAGTTTAAAACTTTGTAGAGAATCTCTTTTCTATATGATCTGATCTTTGCCAAGATTTTCTTCTAATTTCTTAACAAAAAAATTCTTAAAAACTCTAAATCTTTGTTTCTTTAATTATTCCATTAATTTTATTATTCTGGTTTATTTGCTTTACAACCGGAGTTTGGTAATTTCACATTTGTTTGTTTTAGCTAATGTTATTTTCCCTGTCTAATCATCACAAATTAACTTGCCTTTCCATTTTTTGATATTTACTAAATCATGTTATGAGATTTTTTTCTAAATTGCAATAAATAGAAAATCCCACTTTTTCTAGCTTCTGTTTCTGTAATTGTTTATTCTCCTGTTGAACCATTTGTGCCTGATTGTCACAAAACAATAACTCAACAATTTCATATATTGCAACGGCACGACCACGCCGCGTGGAATTTTGTTGACTTAATGGTATCTGATACGATGTCCACTCTGTGACTATATAGTGTGTAGAGGGTTTGTAACCTCTTTGCTAGCTGTGGTTGCTATATCATCCGTACGAGGTCCACTCTGTGACTATATAGTGTGTAGAGGGTTTGTAAACTCTTTGCTAGCTGTGGTTGCTATATCATCCGTACGAGGTCCACTCTGTGACTACGTAGATGGTTTGTATACTCTTTGCTAGCTGTAGTTGCTATATCATCCGTACGATGTATCACCTGTATAAAAACCTTTAAAGAAACAATTACATTTGCTTATGTTGCTTGTTTTTCAGTATTGCCATATAAACTGCTAGGCATGCTTTCAGCTACGATTATAAAATATTTTCAATTCTGTGTGGAATTGTTTCACAGCTGTATACTTACCAAGCTAAAAAATATTTATATTTGCTATGCTATCATAAATATTTTGTATAAAAAGGATAACAAAACTGTTTAAACTTTCTTTATGACTTTTACCTCCTCTGTTGACATCACAATGGAACGCCACAAAATGTATTCAAAAGTGGTACAGGCTCAATCTGATTAGTCGAAAACAAAGATGGGTTCTTACTGAGTTTTCATATGTTTTAGAGTTATTGATTTGATCTCTTTTTGTGATGTATCAAAACCATATATATTGCTTATGATCAAAATCAAGAAATCACAGGTTTTACCTTGCCTTGGCATTTACAATCAAGATATAGATTTATATACATCACAACTATGCCTTTAAGTTTTCTTTAATTGAATTAGCCACATATATCATGAGATTGATAGTTGTTTGACTTAATGTGGCTATTTATGGACCCAAACTAAGCCTAAAAATGTTTATCATCCCCCGCTCAACGAGTTGGCGGGGGATATAGAAATGGGGTCCGTTCGTACGTGTGCCGTTTGTGCGTGCGTCTGTGTGTGCGTGCCTCCATCCATGCCCCTGGTTAAGAAGAATTGCTCTCATCTATATCTTGCCTACTACAAGTGCTATGTTGATTATACTTGCATCAATTTTTTATCTAGGGTTGCTCTACAGAATGCATATTGCAGATGCTGATTTTGACCTATATTTTACGCTTCATGATTTAGCGTATCTTGCACTATGACTGGGGATATCTGCTTGTTGGTTTGGTACTTATTGTTATAATGTTATACTGGTAGTATGTGGGAAGGTTAAAAACATCTGGGATACTTAACATATAATAATAATGTATATATTAGTGTTATCCTTGTCTACACGTTCATCCAGACAGTTTTGATTTTGTGTTAGAGCTAGGGTCATACAGCTTCCCATATTTATGCCCCCTAATGAGTAGGAGTTGTTGCACAATATTTTTGTGACCCATAAGTGTGGGAGAAGGGCATCTTTGTCTAAACAATGAGATATTGTGAAATTTCAGTAAGAACCCATCAATAATTACAAAACAAAAACATGCATTTGGTCAGTTAAATGTTTCTGTGTAAGAAAAATCATGAAATGTTCACAAATCTTCGTAAGTGATGTTACAAGCTACTAGTCTTTGTAATAGATAAAATGTCTCTAAAAACATGGTGTTCATTTCTATCTGTTAGACATAACATTCCCAATGGTTTCAATTATTTCAGTAAAGTTCTGTCTGCCCCTTATGGCATGACCTTGGCAAAACCCTAATGTCCCTGACCTTTGATTCCCTATTGTGAAACAACTGACCTGTCATGAGAGAAACACGAACCTTTCTTCACAATTTTTCCTTTCCCTCACGTTTTCGAACAAGAAACAAAATAACTTTGATTAAAATTTAATATGCAAAGAACTGATAATATTGAGTCAGACTTCTTTGATACTCATCACAATTTTCCTGTACAATTCAAAATGTTCATGTTGAAATGATAGAGGTGAGTAATGATATAATTTAAGAAATAGTTATGGTATGACACAATGCGTGTATGCTTTTTTAGCATTTTCTAAGAATGGGGTTTGGGGGTAGGGTGATAAGGCTAATACAGTCACTCTGGCCGCAGCACCTGGCTTACCACTCCAGGGTTATTATTCTTAGTTAGTTTCCCTGTCACTTCACCGCTACAGTGAAGCCTACATTTTGTACCTGGTATTACTGTTAGACAGTTTCAGTTTTATATAGGGTAAACTTTGAAGGGAACCAAATGGTAAGTTTTCAAGCTGGATTTCCTAATCATTGTTGGATCACAACATTTTAGAGGCTGTTGATTGTTCATGAAGTTGAGGCATTTGTATGGAGGATAGCTAGGCATTGCACTGACAAATATTTTCGATTTCAGGAAGATTTAGGTTAAAGTTTTGAGCGTTATATTTTTTGTTTGGTTGGATCACAATAGTCAATAACTCTTTGAATAATATAAGGAAGTGTTGAACCGCATTTGTTTTTTAGAAAATGAAAGGGGTATATTGGAATTAATTAAAAAACAAATTACATAGTATTTGGTTACAGTTTTTCTGGGCAGTGTTCCGATGATCACAGTAATTAAGCTATTGACAATTGTAAGGCTTTGGCTTAAACAATGGTTTGAAACATATCTTTGCTTTTTTAGCTGTTATAAACATTTTTGAGTTGACATGTTTGTGACTCAGACTCAAACTTGGTATTATATTCAACAATAAATAACTGAAGCAAACAGGTAAATCCAGATAGGTTTACCACTTCCTGTGCAATATTTTATGATGGTGTGGAATATGCAAAGACGTGATTCGAGGTGGTCTCCGGTACAGGGAACCTACTGTCATTACCTTACAGTTATGAAAAATATCTTTACTCTAAAAACTCTTTACTAGATGTGTGCCATACTTTGGTGTAAGGTTAGAAATGGTCTCTTTTGGTTTATATTTAACTGCTTTATGGGGTTAAATCTACAATAAATAAATTGTATATCAAAGATTTTTGGTAAAGGTATAACAAAATCCATTCTTGGGACTTCTGTTAGTATAGGAGTCTTTTGGTCTTGTTAGATAGCAATGATTCCTTTTCACAGAAAAAAATGTTAGTGTAAAAATCCTAGATTAAGCTGTTCTCTGTGATAAATGAATTTAATCTGAGCAAAAACCAGAAGACAATTGATAAAATTCAGCTAGTATTGGATATGAGAAATTTGAGTGACAAAATGGGGAGGTTAAGTAAGTATATATGAAGGACTTGTCTACCCAATATTTCAAAAAAAATATAAAAAATAAGTACAGAAGGATACAGAATAACACATAATTAAATCTATATTGGGTAATGTGATAGCTGTATGCCAGTAGTAATCTGATCTGGCTGTATCCCAGTAGTAATCTGATCTAGCTGTATCCCAGTAGTACTCTGATCTAGCTGTATCCCAGTAGTAATCTGATCTGGCTGGATTGACAGGTTCCTACAGTGCTGCTGGAGCCTCGTCCTGTACCAGCTGTACAGCGGGATACGACTGTACTGATCCAACACAAACTAGTCCCACACAATGTACACAGGGTACCTACAGTGGCGGGGGACAGGCCGGCTGTACCGCATGTGCCAGTGGTAGGTAACCTCACAGTGATTCTATATCTTCACTTAAAACCCTCATCAAAACACAATAAATCTGTATAGTAATACAATATCTGCAAATCCATATTTGATAACAAATGTTATCCATGTAAAAAATATTGGGTATATAAAGTGAGTCATCTAATTAAATATATAATCATAGTCTCTGCTGTTAAACCATACATCTTTTGAATAGAACAGATGAATGTTTAATACATCAGACTACACATTTTCTCTGTTGATAAGAAGACTTTTCAGTTAACAAAAATAATTGAACATGTTATAAAAATGAAACAAAAAACATGGAATTGAAAAATAAATTATGAATATATATTTACATTTGCATGGCATTGTCACTATATAGCCTCTTTGAAAGCTGTGTCGTTGATGGGACTTTAATTACCATGCATCACGAACACAATTCTTAGCGTTTTAATACAACACTGACCGGAACTACAATATCCATTATAAATAAAGATGACGGCTGCTGAAATATCGCTGGGCATTGTGAGATTTGACATTGTCATTGTAAATTTATGTGTAACATAAAAATAAAATAAAAACACTTTTATTACAACAAAAACAAGACCAAGGTCTGCCATATCGTACAAAATGCACATCGGTTGAAATCACCAATGCCTGAAATGG